GCTTAACCGACTGAGCCACCCAGGCGTCCCAAGAAACAAGTTTTTTCTGAGTCCTTTCCATTTGTCGACACTGCCTGTCAAGTAGCCTCTTCTCGGTTAGCAGCTTAAAACAATGGCTTCGTGGGGCCACACTTCTCCGCTGGTGTCAGAACCAGTGGTAACTCAGCACAGGATCTTTTTTTCTGTCATCTGAATCCCGGGTGCGGTTTCTCTCTCTGCCTTGCTGTAGTTGTCGGTATGAAGGCTGCTCATGTAGATGCCTGTCACTCTTTGAAATTCAGGAGACAGCATGCACAGGATCTTGCCAGGCCCTCAGAGGACGTCCAACTGCATGCTCTCTTGAGCTTTTTCATGTTAGCAGCTCCATTGTATTATGTCTCCTGATTCATGCATTTATTCACTCTTTCTTTTAGAAAACATTTATTGGGCACTCTGCAGCAGGTGCGGTGGTAGGTGCTCAGTAAATCTGTGCTCTGAAAGCTCCTCATCCCCATTATTACAGTGTGTGGCCTTGTTTCACCCAGGCAGGGATAGCCATTTGTGTTGAGAGAAGCCAGAGGGGCAGGGAGTTCTCTGATGGGGATGAGACAGATGCAGTATCATCCACATCAAGACAAAGCCGTCCCCAGAATGCACCATCCTAAAGGACGTGCACTGAATTGGGAATGAGGAACTACGGTTTCAAGTCCTGATTCACTCACTAACTGGTTGGGGGTCTTAGGTGACTCATGCCACCTCTGTGAGTCATGGTCTCTCCATTGTGACGGTTAGATAATGCTGTGCCTCTAAAATGCTTTCAGGACCATTGCTGGAAAGAGTATGCACTTAGTAAGTGTTGAATGAATGACTGAAGGAATGAGGGAACATTCTGTGATTCTCAGTGCTAGAGTAGAACTCGAACAGGTCAGGTGAGTAGGTAGAGGTAAGTGTAAATGAAGACAAAGGAGAAACCTCCCTTTCCTCTCCTTGGCAGCCCGCTCCTGCCACGTCAGCCCCTTCACCTCACCTGTTCCTAGGGGGGCTCTCATATCCTCTGCCTCCCTGAGCCAGAGAGGTACCGCCTTTGAGGCCTAGAAGCCAGCCGGTCCTGGGTGGGAATCTCCAGGACATCCCAGCAATGTGTAAAAGGGATCTAATTACACAGGGCTACTATGAAGTAACTCAGAGGATGTATGGAAAGCACCTGTTACCATGTCCTGATGCACAGTGTATTCACCCCATAAATGGTAACCATTTTAATTTTATTAGCCCCCACTCTGCCTTATACATCTTTTCATTACAGCTCTTAACTACCAAGCTCTTTAAAGATTCTTAAAGTTTTTAAAGATTTCTATACAGAAGTGGTCCCTAAACTCTTTTCTCTCTCCTCACCTGTGTGGGCTCCAACACCCTCCCGGCAGCAGCAGAGGCACCCGCCCCGTGTCCCCACCTGGTGTTACTAGAATCCCTGTGGGAGGCAAGGGGCACAGCTTGAAATGGTCTCCCAGCGATGCCCCCACACTGGTTACAAATATCGGGGCGTGAGTCGATCTCCCCAACTAGACCATGGACTTCCCTCAAGGACACAGTGATGTCTTAACCGTTCCTTCGTCCGTGGCATCTAGTCCCAAGCCTGGTATAGACTGAGTGATGAGTAAAATTTTGTTGAACGAATAGATGGATAAATTATAGAGATATTAAGTATTATAGAGATAATATCTTGCTGCTTTTCATTCTCCACAGTGGATTTAGGAAATGCTTTTTATAGACTTGTGGAAGGCCTGGAGAGGTAGCATGGTAGAGACCACTCTGGCTATCCATTGCTGAATAACACTGCAGCCCCAGTGCTTAGTGGTTTCAAATAACAGTAATAATTTCTTATCTCTCATGATTTCTGTGGGTCAGAAATTGGGGAACAGCTTGGCTGGGCACTTGTGGCTTGGATCTCTCATGCACTTGCAGTCAGATGGTGGCTGGTGCTGGAACAGCTAGGGGCCATTGCAGGCGGAGGCTGCTGGCTGCATCTCTCTCCACACCCTAGCAGGACCTCTCCGTGTGGGCACTTCATTGGGCTGGTTTGGGCTTCCTCAAAGCGTGGCAGCCTCAGATTCCTTACATGCAGCTCAAAGCTCCGAAGACAAGAGTGTCCCAAGAGAACCTGCTGGAGGCTGTGTCTCCTCCCCTAACCCCATCTTGGGAGTCACACAGCATCGTTCCTGTTGCATCCCATTAGTTAGGAGCAAGTCACTAAGGCCACATCATTCAAAGGATGCAAATTAGGCCCCCCTCTTAATAGGAGCAACGCCCAAGCATTTATAGACATGTTTCAAAACCACCACAAAGACCCCGGCTTACTCACTTCATTCCACATTTGAGACCCCCAGGGTCTCAGGGGAAGAACCTTGCCCAGAGGTGCCCAGCAGAGCTGGGGTACAGGCCACCCTCTGGACCTTTGGCCGGCCTGCACGGAAGTGATCGCACTTTCCGTTCCTGCCCTCCCTCCACCGCATGCCGGGGACTGCCAGTCCCTGGGAACCGCTTTAGCCAAGCCCTCAGCAAGTTTAGATAGTGTGTAACCAGCAGAAGGCCCAGGGACACCCAGTGTGCCTGGTCCCCAAGCGGTAATGCAACTAGACTATTCTCCCTCTTTCCAGAGACCTCTACAGAAGCACACATGTTCACGCATTGAGGAGTTTGTATCACTGTCTCACTCCCCAGTCCTCCATGCAGTACTAACACTGCCCTGCCCCGGGGAGAGAGGTGGCTGCTGAGGGAGTGAGAGTTTTAACCTTGTACCCCCAAGTAATTATTTTTCCATTGCTGTGAAGTTAGATAGCAAAAGATAGAACTTGGTGGCAGAATTGAGAGAATCAACCTAGCATCACTGAAAAGATTCTGAAGATTTTTACCTCCAGCTGAAAATTCTAGATAGAACTTTGCTCAAGTGTGGGGAAAGTACGTGTGGGTATATGTTTCAGCCAGCACTGTAGAATATTTTCTTGGGACTTCATGCCTTTCTTGCCCTTCCCTCAGAAATGCCTTACTGTGAGGTTGGAGACAGGGGAGGAAAGGGGATGGACCACGTTTAGCAAACGCTTATTGCGTGCCAGCAGGTGCTGATTCATTTCTGTGCTTCCTAGCTGAATAGCACGGGCTCGATCCCACCCCATACTCGGGGAGTATGACTTTGGGGAAGCTCCTTAACCTCTCTGCACCTCAGCTTTCTCTTCCACAGAACAGGATTAAGAACACTTTCCACCTGATAGAGCTGCTATAAAATTAAGTGAGATAATGCCTGTAAGATGCACACAGTCTGGCATGCAGGAAGGACTCTGTAAATGCTGGCTCTGACTATACCCCACAGCCACCTTTCGAGGCAGTTGTCATATCCGCATCTTCCAGAAGAGGAATCTGTGGTCAGGTGAGTTGCTCAGCTATAGGGGCAGAAGCTGGGGGGCACCAGGGCGGCTCAGTTGGTTAAGCGTCTGCCTTCGGTTCTGGTCATGATCCCAGGGTCCTGGGATCGAATCCCGCATCAGGCTCCCTGCTCTGCGGGGAGTCGGCTTCTCCCTTTCCCTCTGCCCCTCCCCTTTGCTCATGCTCTCTCTCTCTCTCACTCACTCTCTCTCTCAAAATAAATAAATAAAATCTTTAAAAAAGAAGAAGCTGGTGACTCCTTAGCCCCTGTCGTGTCCACCACACTACACAAGACTCCAGGTGGCTCAGCCCCAGGCCTTCCCGACCTGCAGAAGTGGTGGGCAGAGGGGCTCTGGAGGCTGCATGCCCTGTAGGACCCTCTGGTCAGAGTCCTAGATAAGGAAAATTTGAAAAGCAGGGCCAGGAATCCAGGTACAAGGCTCTGTAAAGAGAGTAACAGTGTTCCAGGCAGAGAAAACAGTCTTGTGAAGGCCCTGAGGTTGGGAAGAATATAGTTAGTTTGAGGAGTTAACGAGTAAATGGGCCAAAAGATAGCGGGAATGAGAAGAAAGGTCACAGAGGAAGGCAGGGTCAGATCAATGCAGGACTTCAGGGGCTGGTGGGATGAGTTTGGATTTTGCCAGATGTAGAATAGAAAAGCATCAAAGGTTGAATGAAGCAGGGGAATGACCCAATGTCCGATATGCAGTGTCCGATATCACCCTGGCTGCTCATATAGAAAATTGATAGACCTTGGGCCAAGGGCAAGGGCAGAACAGGGATGCAATGAGGAGGCTCCACCAGGGGTGCAGGTGAGGCATGACGGAGACCAGGTGGTGACCATGGAGGGGGAAGGAGGGCAGATCCACGCTGAGCTTTGCAAGTGGAAATGATGGGACCTGGTGAGGAATTCATATATGAGTGGAGGACGAGGAGGAGTCCAGCATGATTTCAAGTTTCCAGCTTGAGCAGTCTGGACAGATGGTGCCTTCACTGAGCTGGGGAAGGCTAAAGGGAGCAGGCTTGTGACTTGACATGTGAAGTTTGAAATGTGAAGGAGGCAGTCAGGTTGGCGAATCTAGAGCTCTGGAGAGAGGCCGCGGGCTATATGGGGAGTCATCAACACATACTATTAAGGGAAAGGGTTAAGAACTTCCAGGGACCAACAGAGAGAGAGAAGGACCCAAGCCTGGTCCTGATCCCGGGCCTAGGGGGCCTATAACACCAAAGTCCCTAACAGAGGAGGCACCTGTGTGGAAGGGGTTGTGACATGGCCCAAGATGTTAGGGGAGGCTTCTGGGGTGTGGTGGACATCTGAGAAAAAGGATGTCCATGAGGACTGACAACCAGGAGGTCGATGAGGACTTTGTGTGACTCATCACCCTGCCCTTTCCTCCTCACGGCGGGGAGTGGCCTCCTGAAGCCTGTGTCTCCACCACCTGCCCCTGGGGCCGCATGGCTTTGGTCCTCTGGGTGCAGAGGCCAAAGCCCTGCCTGACTGCCTCCAAATGAAGCCTCCCTGGAAGCTGCTCTTTGGGCATCAGGCATTGCCCTGGCAGGAGACTCCTCTCTGGTGACTCGACTCTGGGTATGCCCCTGAGGCACTAGATAGAGCTTGGTGCCAGTCCACCCCTTGGTGCAGGCCTCATGTGGTTAGAATCAGCTGCCCTGCCCCTTCTCAGGTTCTGGGAGGTGCTCAGTTTGGGGTCCTGACTTTCCTGCTTGCCTCAGGGCCTCTCTGGTTCTGGCTGCCCATCAGAGGGAAAAGCCACTTCCCTTAGAATTTGAGGAATGCCAGCTCGGTAGGCCCTGGTATTTCCATCAGGTTTCCACAGCCCTTTCTTCCCTCAGAGAGGCCTTTGAGAGCATTTTCTCCACCCCTGAGGAAGCCTCTCCCGCGGGACCAAGTCTCACTCTGTGCCCTGTGTCCTTTGCAAAAGGGTTTGCTTTCTTTTTGTATGGTCTCTGCAAATATTTAATTTTTGAAAAAGAAAAAAAAAAAAACAGGAAATGACCTTTCTGGTATATTTGGAAAACAGTTTAGAGTTGTACTGGAATCTGCCTGAGCAATGAGGACTAATAGCTGCAGTCTTGGAACAGACTATGTAGCTCTTGGCAGAGCCCAGGGCCTCTTCTGTTTACAGAGTTGGGGGGAGGTGTTAGAAACTGAAGGGAGAGAACCTGTTCTCTTCTTCCTTTGCACTTATCACTTATCTGTGATGATCATTTACCTGTTCAGTGCCTTTTTCTCTACCAGATTGTAAATGTCTTTTTAGTCTCCAGTGCATACCCCTTACTGGGACTGGCACAGTGCCTGGCATATAGAAGGTGCTCAGTAAACAATGAATGAATGAATGAGAGGGAGGAAGGAAGAAAGAAAAATGTTAGGACTAGAAGAGCTGTAGAGAGCATATTTCACCCTTTGTTATGTTCAGATGGAGGAAAAGGAAGCTGGGAGAGAGGAAGGGAGGTGGGGATCACCCTTCAGCATGGAGACTGAGCCAGAACTTTGGCCACTGTTTTGATGCAGGACCGCACATCCTTTGCTCTTTCTGCCCTGGAATCTGGAACATCTTCTATTATTTACTCATTCATCAAATATTCACTGAGCTTCAGCCATGTGCGAGGCCTTTCAGATGTAGCAGGATACACACCAGCCAGGGCCGCACGTTCCCTTCGGCACTGTAAAGAACAAAAGAAGGAAGTATAAGTTGTTGGCCTTCTACGCACCATTAAACATAGAGTAAAAACAAAGGAGTTGAATTAAAATGTCAAGAAGACAGTTCTGCTGATAAGATACCCAATGAAAACAGGCCATACTAGTGACTTCTTAATTGCATGCCTCTTACATTCCACATACCTTATCAGACTCTTTACACCCAGCGTCTCTTTCAGTCTTCACAACAGCCCCCTGACCAGCAGGGTGTTACTGTTATCCCCACACTGCTGAGGAAGAAGTGAGTCCAGAGAGGTGAGGGGAGTCATCCAAGGTCTCCAAGCTAGTGAATAGGAGTGCTGGGTGGCATGTTTATACTAGATGCCTCCTACCACACCACACACCCCCCTTGGAGATTTGTAATGTCACTGGGGCTCCCGAGGGGGCAGAGTAGTGTAGGAGAAAGAGCTCTGGACCAAGAGTTAGGACCTCTAGATGCAAGAACTTTGGGCAACTCACCTTTTCTTTCTGGGCCTCAGTTTCCTCAGCTATTAATGAGAGGCTTCTCAAGATGAACTCTGGGATCCCCTTAAGTTTGATTATTCCATAAATGGTTTTGAGGTAAGTAGAAAAATAAGGTAGATGTCTAGCTCATACCTTATAGTAAATAAATTCCAGATAAATCAAAGACTTAAATGTGAAAAATAAAGCCATGAAAGTGTAAGAAATAAATAAGGGAGAATTCTTTACTAATCTCAGAGTGGGGAAGATATTTCTGAGTGTGATCCAGAACCACTCCCTCTGCTTGTGCGTTCTCTCTCTGACAAGTAAATAAATAAAATCTGAAAAAAATATATTTAAAAAAAAAAGAGGGAAATAATCAGTCTACAATAGTGAGACAACAGTATACCATACAGTCAATGAAAAAAAAAGTTTTAGCTATAAAGGATTTTGGGTTTGTTTCTTGGGTTTTGATGTAATCAGTGCTGTGGCATCAGGGTGATCTGGAATTACTTCCAGGATATATTTTTAAATGAAAAAAGCAAGATCAAAAACAACTCTCTGTTTGAAATAAAAAGGAAAGCGTGGGGGAAGGAATACACACATACATACATATATATATATATATATTGCATACAGTCTCTCTGGAAGGACAGAGGAAGTGCTTGCCCTGGGGAGGGTGTCTGAGTCCAAGGAGGCCTCTGAGTGCTTATGCTTTTTCCTTTTGTACCTTCTGAGGTTTGGGGTTTCTTTTAATTATTAAGCTTTATGTTACATGTTACACTTTTCAAAGTATTTTCACATGTGTATTACTTGCATTTAAAAATCTCTTTCCATGGTACTGATTTTTCAGTCTGAAATCTGAACGTAATGTTAATTTCAATTTAAAACTATATTCAAGAAATTTAAATGAAAGATGAAACCAGTAAGCCTTTGTCTTCACACGGTAAGACATGATTTTGGAGGACAGCGTATTGGGTCTTATTATTTTCTTGATGTGGAATTTAACGTGTGTATCATTAAATATTATACATGTTTGAGGCAGAAATAATTGTTTAACAATATAATATAAAGTTTTGCTTGTCTCATTTCGATCTCTACCTCTGGACCTTTAAAGTCACCTATATACCAGTTTTTCTAGTGAACTTCTTGCCTCTACATTGTTACCAGCCTCTTTCTGAAGTGACTGCCTCTGTGGACATTAAAATCCGGGCAGGGGCGCCTGGGTGGCTCAGTTGGTTGAGCGGCTGCCTTCGGCTCAGGTCGTGATCCCAAGGTCCTGGGATCGAGCCCCTTGTCAGGCTCCCTGCTCAGCGAGAGCCAGCTTCTCCCTCTCCCTTTGCCTGCCGCTCTGCCTACTTCTGCTCTCTTTCTGTCTCTCTGTCAAATAAATCAATAATCGTAAAAAAAAAAAAAAAAAGTCTGGGCAAATGAGAGAGGAAATGAACCTATAGTCGCAATGCATGCAAAAGCACTGGACTAGTAGCAGCCCCTCTTTCTAGCTGTTTCCTTTTGTAGGCTCATTCCTTCATTCTCTCTCTCTCTCTCTTTTCTGAAGTATAGTTGACATACAATGTTACATTAGTTTCATCTGTACAATTAGTGATTTGACAAGTTTATACCTTACACTGTGTTCACTGCAGTGCTGTTACGGTATCATTGACTATGTTCCCTACACTGTGCCTTTTATACCCATGACTTACTCATTCTGTAGCTGGAAGCATGTACCTCCCACTCCCCTCACCCATTGTGCCCATCTCCCTTCCCCCCTCCCCTCTGGCAACCACCAGTTTGTCCTCGGTATTTATAGGTCTGTTTCTGCTTTTGGTTTGTTTATTCACTTATTTTTCAGATTCTACATATGAGTGATATCATATGGTATTTATCTTTTCCTCTCTTATTTCACTTAGTGTGATACTCTCTAGGTCCATGCATGTTGTCTTAAATACCAAGATCTCCTTTTTTATGATGAAGTAATTCCATTGTGTACATAAACATTTTTATCCATTCATCTACGCATGGACACTTGGGTTGCTTCCATATCTTGGCTGTTGTAAATATGCTGCAATAAACGAGGCGCCTAGGTGGCTCAGTCAGTTAAGTGTCTACCTTCAGCTCAGGTCATGATCCTGGGTCCTGGGATGGAGCCCTGCATTGGGATTCCTGCTCAGTGGGGAGTCTGTCTCCCTCTGCACTTTCCCCTGCTCACGCTCACACTTTCCACCTGCTCATGCTCGCTCTCTCACTCTCTCTCTCAAATGAATAAATAATATCTTTAAAAAGGAATAATGCTGCAATAAACATAGGGGTACATACATTTTTTCAAATTAGTGTTTTCATTTTCTTTGGGTAGTAGTGGAATTGCTGGGTCATATGGTAATTCTATTTCTAAATTTTTGAGGAACCCCCATAACCGTTTTCCACAGTGGCTGTACCAATTTATATACCCACCAACAGTGCATAAAGTTTCCTTTTTCTCTACATCCTCATCAATACTTGTTATTTCTTGTATTTTTTATTCTAGCCTTCTGACAGGTGTAAGGTGACATTTCATTGTGGTTTTGATTTGTATTTCAGCATCTTTTCATCTGTATGGCCATCTGTATGTCTTTTGGAAAAATGTCTTTTCAGGTCCTCTGTCCATTTTAATCAGATTATTTGTGGGTTTTTTTTTTTTATGTTGGGCTGTATAAAGTCTTTATATATTTTGGATGTTAATCCCTTATCAGATACATCATTTGCAAATATCTTCTCCCATTCAGTAGGTTTACCTTTTCATTTTGTTGATGGTTTCCTTCTCTGTGCAAAAGCTTTTTATTTTGATGTAGTCCCAATAGTTTTTTTGTTTCACTTGCCTTAAGAGACACGCCTAGAAAAATGTCACTTATGGCCAATGTCAAAGAGATTACTGCCTGCTTTCTTCTAGGAGTCTCATGGTTTTAGGTAACACATTTAGGTCTTGAATCCATCTTGAGTTTATTTTGGTATATTGTGTAAGAAAGTAGCCCAGTTTTCCCAGCACAGTTTATTAAGAGATTGTCTTTTCCCCATTGTATATTCTCGCCTCCTTTATCATAGATTGACCGTATAAGCATGGGTTTATTTCTGGGCTCTCTGTTCTGTTGATCTGTGTGTTTTGTGCCAGTACCACACTGTTCTGATACGACAGCTTTGTCATCTGTCTTGAAATGTGATACCTCCCACTTTGTTCTTCTTTCTCAAGATTGCTTTGGCTATTTGGGGTCTTTTGTTGGTTCCATATAAATTTTAGTATTATTTCTTACAGTTCTGTGAAAAATGCTGTTGGTATTTTGATAGGCATTACATTGAATCTCTAGATTGCTTTGGTAGCGTGGACATTTTAATAATATTAATTCTTCCAATCCATGATCATGGAATATCTTTCCATTTGTTTGTGTCATCTTCAGTTTCTTTCATTAACATTCTGTAATTTTCAGAGTACAGGTCTTTCACTTCCTTGGTTATTCCTAAGGATTTTATTCTTTTTGGTGCATGTCCTTTTTGAGTTTTATATACATGCACACATATTCAAAAATGAAATAATTTAAAAATAAAGTGAATGTTTTCACTATGAAGAATACAAAAAAAATTTAAATCGTAATTTAAATATGTGATGGTATCATTGAGATTTTTTTTCATTTAACAATTGTGAACATTTTCCTGTGTCTTTTAAAAATATTCACAAACATGGGGCACCCAGGTGGCTCAGTCAGTTAAGCGTCTGACTCTTGATTTTGGCTCATGATCTCTCAGGATCGAGCCCCAAGTCAGGCTCCACACTCAGCATCGGGGAGCCTGCTTCAGATTATCCCTCTCCCTCAGCCCGTCCACCTGCCTGTGTTCTCTCTCTCAAAAATACACAAACATTTTAAGGCCTGAAGTGTATTTCATTTGGCTATAAATTGGTGAAATATGTATATATTTCTCTGTTGTCCATATAGGAGCTCATTTTGGTGTCTTAGTTTTTGACTATTATAAATAATACCATAATGAATATCTTTGTACATTTATCTTCATGCACAACTTGGACTCTTCTCTTAGAATCAGTTATTATAAGGGGTGCTTTGGGTGGCTCAGTCGGTTAAGCATCTGCCTTTGGCTCAGGTCACTGACGATCCCAGGGTTCTAGGATTGAGCCCCAAATCGGGCTCCCTGCCTGCTCAGCAGGGAGCCTGCTTCTCTCTCTCTCTCCCTCTGCTGCTCCCCCTGCTTGTGCTCTCTCGTGTGCTCTCTTTCTCCCCCTCTCTCAAATAAAATCTTAAAAAAAAAAAAATTATGAGCTTAGTTGCTCAAGGATATGAAAAAAGTTGAGGCTTCTTGATGCATCTGAGCAGATCACTCCCCAGAGAGGCTCTGGCAGTTTACACTCTCATTAGCAGTCTGATAATGACCATTTTCTGACGCAGTTTTCAACTCTAAAGATTCATTTCCCTGTTGCTGTTGACTTTAAAGAACAGAGAGCAAGACGGGCGCCTGGGTGGCTCAGTTGGTTAAGCGACTGCCTTAGGCTCAGGTCATGATCCTGGAGTCCCAGGATCGAGTTCCGCATCGGGTTCCCCGCTCAGCGGGGAATCTGCTTCTCCCTCTGACCCTCCCCCCTCTCATGTGCTCTCTCTCTCAAATAAAAAAAATCTTTAAAAAAAAAAAAAACAGAGCAAGAATTGAAATGTCGAGGAAAAGTGAAGTTGTGTGCTTGTGCTGCAGCTCAGGGGGCTCCCCCGGCTACACCCTAAAATCGCTTTGAAATCCCTCTTCCCCAAGAGGATGAGGATGGGGCAGGGGCAGCTGGAGCACGTTGGCTGCATTGGTGTTTTCCAGGTTTGGGCTTTGTGCTTGGCACGCTTCCCTCTCTGAGCCAGGAGGGTCAGCTCCCTGTAGAGGGCAGCTTGTAAGGCAAGGGCAGGAGCCAAAGCCCCAGGGTGTCTATTCCAGCGGGAAGCTGGCCTTTTAGGTGAAGCTTGTAACTCCATCCCAGTGTCAGATCCTAGAGATACCAGACAAGAACGCCACAGCAGTCTACAGAGGACAGAGTCCTTTCCCAGCAGTCCTAACGAGTCACTTTATCATCCCCACAGATAGGGAAAGAGAGATGGAGGGAAGATAGGTAGGCAGAAATTTGAGGAATATTTATTGATCACATAGTCTTTGCCAGGCACTGGGAGCAGCCAGAGCATGTTGGCTCAGCTGCCCAGATTAGGCCTTTTGGTCTGGCATGGTGAAATCCCTGTTCTCATGGAGCCGACATTCTAGTTGGAAGAGAGCTGAGACAGGGCTGGGGGAGATGGTGTGGCCTGCCCAGGGTCTGTCCCCTGCCCTTGGCAGCAGTAGGGTAACACGGAGGATGAGCCTGGGCCTAGGAGCCAGATGGGTCCGCCCAAGACCTTTCTGAGTCATGGTTGTAAACTCACCTCACTGACCTGAGAGGTCTACTGTGGCAATGTAGTAAGTGAGGACCAGAAAGCCTAGAATGACTTGGTAACTGTCATCTTTATTATTACTGTTAGAATTGTCAGAAATGTTATTCCTGTTACTGCAGCAGGTCAGTCCCCTGTTCTGAAGCTTTGAGCCATTTCCCAAGAGGGAGAGTGCAGAAGTAAAACTTCTGTGACCTGTAGAAGGAACCCCTTCTGGGACTCGAGTTTGTTTTTTGTTGTGTTTTTTTGCTGAGAAGACAAAACACTAGGGCAACTTGTTTCTCTCAAGGCAGCCAAGAAAAGTAGTCGGAGCACACCCTCTGTTGGAGCCTGGGGGGATTGCCTTAGGCAGGATCTGGCCCTGCCTTTATTTTACAGATGGGGTAACAGGCCCAGGGAGGGGCAGAGCGTTCTTGGAGTGCCCCTGATGTATTCGTCTCTTCTGAGGTAGGTATTGTGGGGAGATGTGGGGCCAGCCCTCCACACTGGCAGCCTGTCCTCCCTCTCGCTCTATGTCACACACACATAGACACACACGCACACGGTGCATGCCCCCTCAGCACTTACTGAGCTCCTCCCCCCCCCACCCCCCCAGGCATCTTCTGCCAACGTCAGTCACCTAATGAAAGCATCACACAGTAACTTGGGCTGATAAGAACTTCCACCGTTACAAAAATGGTCTTAGAAGTAAAAGTTCCCCTTAGATACAAAGAACCACACTTGACAAGGTTTTTTTCCTTGTAACTGCTCTTTCCCACAGAAACTAATTCTATCTTAGGTGTTGCTTTGCATTTAACAGTTTATCTCCGAAACCTTGCTATAATCAGTACAGGTCCATCTGGCGTGCTTTGACTGCCTTCAGAAAATCAGGTACTCAGAAATGTTCATGTCCCCCTAGCAGGTGAACATTTTTTATATAATCGCAATACTGATTGTTAGCAAGGGTGCAGATAAATGGACAATCTTATGTGCTGCAAGTGGGCATATAAACAGGAATAGTACAGAACTTAAAAGGGCTTTTCCCCTCATCTTTTGTCGTCATAAATACCTATAGTATTCACGAAGGCAACTTGGAAACGTGTCTAAACAATGTGGCTTAAAAAATCATCTCATCCCGGGGCGCCTGGGTGGCTCAGTTGGTTAAGCGACTGCCTTCGGCTCAGGTCATGATCCTGGAGTCCTGGGATCGAGTCCCGCATCGGGCTCCC